AGAGGCTGCTTGTGATACGGACATTCACAAGAGGGTTGGTGACCACAATCACTTCACCAGACATTTTGAAATTGGTCAGGACCCTCTTAAGGAGCAGTGACTAAAAAAAATTAAAAGCATAAATGCCATCAACAGCTCAGCAAGCAGAGTAGGACCAATATAACAAGGTCATTTTGAAATTTCTGTATTTATTCTGAGGACAGAAAGAACATTTATAGACCAAGACAAAACAAAAAAATAACCAAAAAGACAGATCATCGGCTCTCCCATTAGCACTTCTATTTTTAGATGCGTGTGGTTGCAACCAAATCAGACGGTATTTTGTTTTTTTGCAAGTAAAACCAGATGGATATAATGAAACATACTACTCAAACTGAGTCCCAGAGCACTCTTTACCCCAGAAAATTTTGTTTTGGTTTTGCATAAATCCAAAAAACCCCCCCAAACATTATAATCCAATCTGCTGTGTACTTCCTGCATTGCAGTATACCATATGCAATTGGGGAATAAACCATGAAGTGGTTTTTGTACCCAGCAATGACCAGGAAAAACTGGAAGTGCCATCTAGTGCCAACACTAACCCAGCGTAACGGTGCCATCAGACATGTAGCAGTGGAGGGACAGAGGCCATGCAGCTTGTCAACTAGTGTTAGACCAAGCTTATTTTTTTTTTGACAATGGGAAAGGGGACAAACACCAATTGTTAAGCGGTCGGCCCGTGTTTGAAAAACCCAGGTTAACATGCTAATTTCAGTGGGAAAGAGACTTTATGGAGCCACACAAAGAGGCACACATATGCAGTTTTATTACTGCTTGAAACTTCAGAGCTGATTATAGAGCTGAATGAAGATGGAGACTGATTACTGATCTGTATTGGATCATGCAAAGACCAGAGAAAAGGGTACCGGTAAGTGTATTGATGGAATAGATCCTTCCTATGACATGTACCGGTATGTATGTATTTATTTGTTTCTGAGTAAAAAAAAATGTTTAAGAGATTCTCAACATGTTACACCTTATTATTATCTATTATCGTTATTGACACATCCACGTTGGAAAAAACTAAAGATAATTCTCATGTGAAATGAATCCCCTGTATCACAATATACTATTCTGGAAATGAAAACATCTAACGCACTGTAAATTTTTTCTGTCTACAGTGTTGATAATGTCTAGGAGAAGGTGTGCACTGGTCTGGAGAGGGAGAAGAAGGAGCCATCTATGAAGAACTAAAACTGATTTATGGGGGGTGTTGACGTTTTTGACCAGACGATTGTTTCCTTTTCCTCATGCAGAAAGAGAAGAAAGGTGTTTCTGACAGCTCAGCAATATTTTGTGACTTGGTGGATATTGCTGTAATGAACAACAACCTGCTGCACAAGGAGCTTTGTGGTAGACTGGATCAGCAGCTGCTGACCCACCAGGCTTACAAAAGCAGTCCCCAACAACTACCAGAGGCCTGTCAGTATATATCCCTGTGGCCATTGCTGAGCTAACATCAGTCTGACCAGTCATCACTGCTCCTCCGATCAGTTTGAAAACTGATCTTTACTCCGTGTTTGTGGCTCCAGTATTGTCAATAATTTATTATAGATAGGGTTAGGATGTTCCTGCTGTTTTTTGAATTCTGCTTTTTAAATCTTGATAAAGAATATAATCTGAATTTGTGTTGGTCTGTTGTAAATTTTCAATACAGGAAAAAAAAATATATAATAGTTTTTATTGTTCATTTTTGTTTGAACATTGTCTTGTGAACCTTTAAGTGTCTTCATATGTATCTGTTAAACAAAGATCTGATTTAACTAATCTAAACACCTAACTCTGAAGTACATATAATTTTTTTCATAAAAAAAGTAAAGCACATTTAAAGGGGCTTCCAGGTCATATGATCAATTTACCCAAAATCAGTGTAGGATCATAGTACTCCACTGGGTTCATGAGGTACACCTTTTATTTTTGCATTTGAAATCTCTAAATATTTTGTTTTACTTTTTACATATGGGCTAAGTATTAACATTTAAATTCAATAGCTTATAGGCTTCAAAAAGTACACTTTTATTTTGAAAGCAGGAAGTCGGTACACAATGCAGTCGTTTGTTGTGTTGTTTGTTTTTTATAATTCCATATTTTTTTCTAAATGTAGTGGTTCCATGTAACACCCTGAAGTTTTATCGTAACAAAATTTTTTTCCAGCAATCACATGGACTTTTTTCTGTCTTTCCCCCTCATTAATTTCATCAAAAATGACCTTAGAAGCACTATGGGTTTGCTAGCTAAACAGTGGGAAGCAACAGTAGTCACATTGGAGCCGTTGAGACGCCTCGAATTAACCAGTTTTACCGCATTTACTTACATATAGGTTCTTTTTCCAAGCAGTAGAAACGAAATGCCTTGATGAAAGCGGATAACGATGTTGGTTTGAAGAAACTGCGTTCTAACTACCACAGTAAAACAAAAATGGTGAGCTCAGCATTGCTTTGAATGTACGCCATGAGACTCAAACTCCAATTCCTGCAACGCCCTGCTCTGGAAGCTTCTATCCGCCTCGGCTGGAACGAACCAATCAGATTAGAGAGGGACGAAGCTCAGCCAATGGAATCATGGATACGTACATCAGGAGGACGGGCCGTTTATTTAGTGGCTGATAAAGACAACCAATCAAAAGAAGGAGCTGAGATGACCACGTGGTAGGACGAACGCAAGACAATGCATAAATATGCTGTATTTATTGACTAAGACACTGATTGTTGTCATTCTTTTGGAATATTTTTTTATATCAAGAACATGATGGCTAAAATAAGTTGAACAAGTAGTTTAAAAAATACATATATTTTTAAAAAGGAAAGTATAGCAGAACATTAAAATATAACTATTTTTGTTTGTGATGCCAAAAATGGATACGTTTAAATTCTAATACGGTTTTAAAGGTTGTAAAATAATGTCTGGAATTTCGTTTTTCCAAGTACCCTACATGTAATTAATCATCTGCGACTTTAGGGGGCGCTTTTTATACTCTCTACTGAGAGTCTTATATTTTTACCCCATAAAACAGATGTAGCTACTGGAACCTAAGTTAAAGGACTTCAGTTAGGGTTGAGAAGTATTTATTTATTGGTCAATTCCAAAATGCGACCCCAATATTAGATACACTGATCCCTCCGGCCCTGCTGTCCTAATGAGCACTGACAGCACAATGTGAAGCAACTACTGTATAGCACAAACTAAGTTGTGGAAAGTTACAAAATAAGGGATATTTTCATTAGTTTTATCTGAGATTTTTTTTTGCAGAAAAGAGAAATTGCTAAAATTTCAGATAATCATTTCAATTTCAAATATAAGATTAAGAACTTATTTTTTTCGGTTTCAGTTACAGTTTTTGAAATTTAAAAATACAAGATTAAAAAAAATGTTTGGATCCTGTACCTTTTAACCCCATTCACTATTACTGCATAGATTATGGTGGCAGGAAAATGAAGGGGCTAAGAAAAGAACCTCATTACCCTGCATCTGTGAAGTGAATGTTTGCATTCCTTTTGTTGAAAATCCAGATGCAGGGCTCCATAGATCTTATTACATTGTGATAACAAGTATTGATAGCCATCTTTAGGGTAAGGTTTCAGGAAAAACTCTTCATATGGTAATTCATTTACCCGTACAATATAAAAATGCATTTGACATTACTAATAATTATCAGCTGCAAAAATAATCTGGAACACATACCGTACCTGTAGATCTACCTCTGTATGAACAGAGTAAGGAAAATCTTCCTCACTTATATCAAAAACATTAAAATATTCATTTGTTTTAAGTATTTTATCGAACTGAAAAAAAAATAGACGATAAGAAACTAAAGTATTCTATTGTACCGTTTGTGGTTGTGCTTGGGCAGCTTCTTCACTGGTGAAGGCCTGTCCTGTAAACCAACCCAACAAATAAAGAAATGTCTTGGTTGATGTTGGAGACTGGTTGCAAAATCTTGAAATTTTAAAGTGTGTTATTAAATATTTGTTGTGCAGATAACTTATCCCTGTCTCTTCCAGTGGAATATGTTTTAGGATTAAAAGACTCCTCAGGGGAATTGTTTTTCCACTTTGTATTAAACTGCATATTTTTATTTGCATTCTTACTGTTTCTTGTGTGTAGAATTAGAAAAGAAAAATACATAACAAATACTTCTAAATAATACTATTGTGCATTTATTTAAAAAATATGGCAGACTCAGCATTGTAAAAGCTTTAATTCTGGGGTAATTTTGAAACAAAAACATTAACCCATTTTTTTCTGTTAGTCATAGTGCTATGGCTTAGGAGCTATCAGAATTGTGTGATTTTTGGAATATATATATGTAATATGTATACATTTTAATATATATTTTATATATACCTATATATATATATATAATATGTATAAATATTTCTATTTCTCAGTCATACTTTTCTAACATATATATATATATATATATATATATATATATATATATATATATATATATATATATATATATATATATATATATATATATATATATATATATATATATATATATATATATATATATATATATAGAGAGAGAGAGAGAGAGAGAGAGAGAGAGAGAGAGAGAGAGTTATATGTGTATATATTTATATTATTTTTATTTGTTTTATATATATATATATTTTTTTTTTTTTTTTTTTTTTTTTTTTTTTTTTTTTTTCATTTTTTCGGTCATCTCTTTCTAATAGCGCCCTGGCCAACTGCCCGGTGCAAAAAAATCAAAAACTGACTGTAAGTTTAATTTACCTTATTTTATTGTAACAATTGCTGAGCGTTTGAGACAAGAGGCCTACTGAGAGACTTTCACACTCTTCTGGAGATAATGCGAGCTTTACAGTCAAATGATATATGAATGATTAAGATTTTTAACCCAGCCATTGATTCAGGGGCGTGTCAGCTCATGGCTTGGAGGCACATTAAAGATGGAAAAACGCAGCTCTGTAGAAAGAGGGAGGAGAGAGAGAGACGGGGAGGAGGAACTACTAGTGGAAAAAAAAAAGTTAAAGTGAAAATGGCTTCCTTGTCTTTAGAGTCTACAGAACAATCTGACAATAGCCCAGAAGATCCGTCAGTAGCCGAGTCCAAAGAAGACAAAGAAAGCTCTCATGTTTCGGAACATTTGCTCCAAAGTTTCCAGAAGTCGGCCCTGAGTTTCTCCACAGACCAGGTTTCATGCCTGTGCGAGGCCCTTCTGCAGGCGGGTAATGTGGATCGCCTGTGGAGCTTTCTCTCCACCATACCTCCTTCGTCCGAGCTGCTACGTGGCAACGAGACGCTGCTGAAGGCCCAGGCGCTGGTGGCTTTCCATCGGGAGGAGTTCAAGGAGCTGTACGCCATCCTGGAGAGCCATGACTTCCACCCGTCTAACCATGGGTTCCTGCAGGACCTGTACCTCAAAGCCCGCTACAAGGAGGCAGAGAGGTCCCGGGGCCGCAGCCTGGGCGCAGTGGACAAATACCGGCTCAGGAAGAAGTTCCCCCTGCCTAAAACCATCTGGGACGGAGAGGAGACGGTTTACTGCTTCAAGGAGAAGTCCCGGAACGCTCTGAAGGAATGCTACAAAAGCAACAGGTACCCCACTCCGGACGAGAAGAAAAACCTGGCCAAAGTAACCGGACTGTCCCTCACGCAAGTCAGCAACTGGTTCAAGAACCGCAGGCAGAGGGACAGGACCCCGTCCGGGACCCACAGCAAAAGGCAAGCATTGCATGCATGTGCGCGCCTTAACCTGCGCACAGAAACGCTGCGATCTGAAACTGCTCCCTTTGTTTGCAAGTCAATCAAACTTATGAAGGCTCTAAACACTTGAAGGAAAAAAAGTGCATCACGTCTAAAGCATGCAGAAAAACATCATTGCGAGTTAGGAAGGGATTTATTAAAGATGATGGGCGGTAGCTGACTTTGTCACACATCTGAAACCTAACGCATGTTGATTTGTTATGAAATGTGAGATCCAGATGGGCCCACAATGGCTCAAGTTTCCTGAAACCCTGCACTGCACTGCCGCCTCCAGAGCTTAGGGGACAGGGGTTGGTGAGGGTGGAAAACTGAAACAGAAGGAAAAACCTGCAGCAACAGGCCAAGCAGCCTGATATCACAATTTTGTTATTATAACAGGAAGTATAAATCAGGGTGATGTGAATATTAAATTTACCACACAGTTTTACCTTAAAAGAGACAGATAAAAGTAAAGTGATATAAAGGTTGTATTTATTTAACAAACATTTCGGATGCAGTGTTATAAAAGTTGAAATTCTGTGGTAATTTATGACACTAGATTTACCCTAAAACACAAATCCGTGGCTTGAAATGCAAAAAGGACATTACGATAACCCAGGTAAACAATCCTCAGTAAGAATATGTAGCCAAACATATTTTTAAATGACTTATATCCACCAATAAAGGGCATTATTTCAAGTTTCAGCTTACAACCAAAATGCATCTTCACTGACTAGAAGTCATTGATGTTTTGGAGTCACAAAGCAAGAGTGCCAACTTTGAATTGATGGGGAATTTGTGGAGGGAGCCAAAGATTAGATAATTGCACTGAGTCATTCCAACTTTTAAAGGACTAAAATGTCCAAATAAAAGCATAGGTACCTGAGAACATTTATAAAGTAACTGCTTGTTTGGTTCGTGTTTAAAAAAAGAGGGAAAAAAATCCTCCTCTTCAGTTGATTTAAATAGATTTCATCTAATGCTCTGGATATTTCCGGGTTTATATTGGGAAAAAAATCCAGATTCTAGCCAACTTTTACTGGAAAGAAGTGCCTTTATTGTGTGGTATAATTCATTTGCACACAGTGTGTGCAATCTTAGATTTAATGCATTTGATGAACAGGGGCAAAACCAGATATTGTTTAATACCATCTGCCTTCCTGATTGAGGGGAAATTGGCCAATTCCTGGCAGAATATGTCTTGTTTTTACAACCACTGTTTCTCAAAGCGGGGGTGTTCTGTTTGTGCAGAGATAAAGCAGAGCATGGAGGGCTTATCTTACCCCACCTCAGGGCCTGTGGTGGTCAGTCCAAATGTAGTGGATCTGGGTCGTAAAGCTCCACAAATGACCTAATATCAGGCCATGAAAGGGTTTTAGGAGTCTGACTCCCCCCTTCTTGCACAGAGGAATGCTTTGCTTGGTTGGTTATTGTAGAGGTGGTTAACCCTACTGGTGAAAGTTTAACAAGTTTCCATTTGGTTGAGAACAGAAGTATCCGCTCCAAAACTACTTAAAACAATAAATTAATACAGTTGCAATAATTCATTTTGCATTTAATGTCTTGAAGCATTTCAATAGATATAATAAAGTTTAACGCTTTAATCTAAAACGTCAAATCTTCTTTCTTGCACCTATTATTTTCTAAATTACACTTGAATTAAATTAGGCGGAAGGATTTTATGTTTGCATTTTATCATATATCCATCTTTGTTTCCAGCGAGTCAGATGGGAACCACAGCACTGAGGACGAGGCGATGGACGAAGCCGCCGACAAACCAGAGGAGCCAACAAGCTCCACCACCTCCATCATCTCTGTCTCTGCGGTCCCCTGCAGCACGGGGGGGCAGCTTATCCTCAATGGCTCCAGCGGCTTCCTGGCAGCTTCACAGCCGTTGCTGCTGAACGGAAACTCCCTGATCTCCAGTGCCGGGGCTGGTGTCATAATCAACGGGCTGAGTCTAGGTGACTGCCAGACGGTCACGCTGAGCCCTGTTGCAGCCAGCTCTCCTCTAATCCTGAACGGGGCTCAGGTCATAACCAAACCCGGAGTCAGCACGCAGCAGCACCAAGCGGCCTCTTCTAGAGCAGAACAGGAAGCGTCTGCTGTGGAGACCAAGACGGTTGTTCTGAGCACTAATGGCGTTCAAGCTCCAGAACCTTCCACCATAATTTCTCCTCCACTTCAAACCAAAATAAAAAGTGACAGCGACATGGATTTTATGACCAGTTGCAATTCAGAGGGAGGCAGCCAGACAGTATCCCCATCCTCTTCGTCTTTATCGCCCTCCCCTCCAGCTCTGTCTTCTTCAACCAGTCTTCCATCGCTTGTTCTAACCCAAAACCCTCAAGACCAAGAGTCTGTCTCCCTCCCAGCTTCTCTGCCCTCCTCAGGCTTGGTTATCTCCAACTCTGCCAGTCAGCAGGGACCTTGGCCCTCACAGTTAACACCTTCTACAGTTTCTTCTATCCACTCCACCCCTCACATCATCTCTTTGCCCCAAGTTGTGCCTTCAATCCACTGTGCACCAGTCTCCCAACTGGTCCAGAGCTCTACAGGAGCCCAATGCCCTCAGCTAGTCCCAGTATCCCCACTCACCTCAGTGGCTCCACAGTTTCAAAGCCCTCACACTCAAAACATAGGTAGCAGACCGCAAGAGCAGCAGCAAGAGCCCCCAACAACTATATCTGAATCTGCTGCTGCTGTAGCTTCTGTTCCACAGCTTAACAACACTACCCTCCAGCACATAAACCCCACCCCCATCAAAGTTCAGCCTCCACAGGTTCTCTCCTTGTCTTCTCCTACACCAGGAGTCCCAGTGTCTCAAGCAAAAGGCAGTCCCTCTGCTCAGTTAGCCTCACTTTCAATGCCTCAGCTGGTTCCCGTCTCCTCCATCCAAACCTCCCCCAACTTCTCTTTCCCCCAGGTGGTGCCAGCCAGCCCGGCACTCTCCATCCCCTCTGCTGGTGTGCCCTTGCAGATCTTGGCTTCATCCCCTGGATCCGCAGGGCCTCCACAGAGCCCGCTCAGGATAAACCAGCTGAGTCAGATACAGAGAGTTGGGAACTCGACCAGCGTGGCCCCGGCTGTACAGCTCCTGAACCCTGGGATCATTCAGCTACCTTCTCCTTCCACAGGTAAAACATAACATCCAATTTGTTCATTAGGAGAAATAAAAACAGACTGATCAACTCAATTCTTTGATAGTTTCCCGATAAAGATTCATTAAATGTATTTTGGATTAGGTTAAAAAAGCAGGAATGTAAGATGAACTTGAAAGTACCTAAAGTTTGGAACATATTGAAGTATTTACACTGATGGACGTCACACAAATTGTTTAAACTGCTATGATTAATTACAGAACCATGTAAAGGTATTTATACAACTTGACCATTAATGGTTTGTGGGGAACATTCTGTGATTGACAAACACAAAGTAGTACATAAAACAAATTATACTTCATAGTAAAACCTGGAACTTTTTATTATTTGTGTGTGTGTGTGTATGTAATATATATATATATATATATATATATATATATATATATATATATATATATATATATATATATACACACTACCGTTCAAAAGTTTGTCACCCAAATGATTTTGTGTTTTCCTGAAAAGTAGCACTTATTCACCACCATACGTTAGACATTGACAAGGTTAGAAATAAGGATTTATATTTGAATCGTTCATTTGCAGCAATTACAGCATTGCAGACCTTTGGCATTCTAGCTGTTAATTTGTTGAGGTAATCTGGAGAAACTGCACCCCACGCTTCCAGAAGCAGCTCCCACAAGTTGGATTGGTTGGATGGGTACTTCTTGCGTACCATACGGTCAAGCTGCTCCCACAACAGCTCAATGGGGTTTATAAGGACATTTCAATGTGTCCCCAAACTTTTGAACGGTAGTGTGTGTGTATATATATATATATATATATATATATATATACACAAACACCAGACTATATTCTGAAAAAATTTAACAATTTGCCAGCCCATAAAGACAGCTCTCCATCTAACCTCTATAACAATAAATGAAGAGGCAGCCAAGAGGCCCCTCGTATCTATCTCTGGAGGAGCTGTGGAGATCTGCAGCTCAGGTGGGTGACTAGATGATGAGCTCTGTGTAAATCTGACCTCCCTGGAAGAAAGGGATTGCCACAATTAAGCAACAGGAGGTCTCATTTAACAGCTTTATGATTTTTCTTTTGCCCCAATTTCATGTAAAAAAACATTTCAAATACGTGCAAGAATAAGCTTTAAGTGGATTTTTTCTGGCCAGCATGCATAACGCTGTGTGGCAGAAAACCTGAAACTACACATGACCATAAACATGCCATTCCCATGGTGAATGATGCCGGTGGCTGTGTCATGCTATTTCAGGTGGTCAGAGAGGCTCCTAGACATTCAGCCAGATCTACAGCCGCATGTTTTAAATCACAGATTTTTCACGTGTTGAACGGCTCAGTTAAAGTCCAGAGCTGAATAAAATCTAAAATTTTAATTTCCGAAAGTTTTACAAACCTTAGATGTACTTTAAAGGAGGGACAGAAATATCAGTCCTTAAATGTGCAGAATTGGTAATACGGCATCATGTTGAGGTCTGAATGCAAGTTAGGTCACTTTTTAGACTTTAATTTGTGAAATATGCCCTAACTTATTAACTTATGTATAATATTTCTTCAAATGCAAAATTATGCTCTGCTTTGTGTTTGTCTATCACACATAAAACCCTACGCTACACTAGGCTGTAATATGACAAAATATGACTTAAGTGCAAATGTGAAGGTTTTTGTCAACAACTGCAGATAAAGAGAAAATTAAAATATTTTGAAAAACAATGACAAAGATTAATTAGTCCATCCTTTAATAACCAGCTTCAGTAGAGTGACTAGCATCTTTTACATACTTCCAAAATAAAGAAAATGATGCACTGACTGGTTTTCGTTGCATGTGGCTCGTCGCTGCAGGGAACGTCGTTCTCGGTGGAAGCCCATACCTGAGTGTGCAGCAGGGGAAGCTGATCCTGACAATCCCAGCAGGGATCCAGCTCACCAGTTTACCCCTAAAACCAGTCCAAGAAGCATCCACTGTCTCTGCAAACGGAGTGGCTGGACTTCTGAGTCCCTCCACTCCTCCTGTGGCCTGCCAGCCTCCACACAGCTCAGGCTCAAACTCCGGTGGACTAGCAGCTCCCCCTTTGAACTTCATCAGCTCCTCGCCTCTGCTCTGTGCTCCTGACACCACCAGCATCACCACCAGCCAGCCGCCGGTAGTCTCCACCTCTCCCACGCTAGACCAGTCCGTTACCATGACGACACAAAGTGCGCTTACTCCAGAGAGCATGCTGGCCCTTGGCCCCATGTACAGCGGAGTAGCACCGAGCATCCAGCTGTCCCAGCCGGCATGGAACCCCGTCTCCCTCTCCACCTCAGCCAGTCTGACCCTGTTTGACATGCGTGGGAAGGGAGAGCTACCTGTAGACCCCGCTTTATTAGGTCTACCCGGAGGAGAGTCGCTCCTGCTGGGGAGCTCATCTCTTGGAAGGGAAGATGAAACCAGCTCTCCACTGAGGGACCCGGATGAGATGGATGGGGAGCAGAAGATTCTCACCCAGCTCCAATCAGTCCCTGTGGATGAAGACTTGGGTTTGTAGTTCTGTTAAAACTGTTGGCAATTCTCCATACTGTCCTGTTGCTATTCATGACCCGATGTGGTAATTTAGTAAAATAAGAAAAACGTCCTGAAACCATCGTAGACCTGATTGGCACTTTTTAGAAAAGTTCTTTGCAGTTTTTGTAGTTCCAGCTGGAGCATTGCATATACCTCTCATGGACATCAGTACAATATTTGCTTTGGGAATTTAAAGATTTACTCAAACCATTCTTTTTTTTTTCTTTTTTTCTTTAAGGTCTGAATGATTTAAACACAAGAAACTTCAGTGAGTTATAAAAATTTATTATTTATTGAGGATTTTCCCTTTAACTAGCTGTATTACTTCATCCTCTTTGTGCAATGAACCACTAACAAAACGGCCCATAGCATGATGTTTCTAACATGCTTTGCAGTTGGCAGTGTGTCCCTTGGTTTGAAGATCTCAGCTTTAAATTTGTGTTGTCCAAGGAGGTAGCTAGATGTTATAGTTGGGTTTTTATTTATTTTTTGCTAATTTTCTTTTAAATCTTTACCAGTTTTGTGTTGTTTAAGAGAGACTTTTATATATTTGACTGAATTTTTGAAAACACTGTACCAACTGTCTAGCCTTTAGGTGGGAGTATCATGCCGTTGGAGTGTTTATTCAGTGTTGGTGGAGCAGTGTGCAAAGTGGATGTAGAAATAAAGCTGGAGATTCTTTAAATCCACCTAAAGTCAACAGTAAGATGAGAGATCCTCATCCTAAGGATGCTCCATAATGGTTTTCAATATACTTGGGTAAAACTAAGCAATGGTTTTAAATATAAAATTAAAATAAAAGTTTTTTTTAGCAGATCTTCATGCATTTTCACACATCTAGGTAAAAATTCCACGCTTAAAATACAGTTTTATTCTGTTTTTATAAACATCGAAAGTATAATTCAAATATGCCATTATTAAAACGTTTTTTAAGGCTCTAAAAGCCTTTCAGACAGAAAATTATATTGTTTTTTAATCATGATTTGAATTTTAGAATCCAGACACGGTTAGCTCGTTTTGTAGCACTAAACCAGATTTTCACTCAGGAGACTGAAACGGAAATTCATAAATTGAGTATTTCTAAACATTTACCTGGAATTTTTTTTTTTTTTCTTCTGAATTTTGAGGGAATGTTTGTCCTTTTCACCCACATCTTTTTAATTCCTCCTTAACCCTTTATAGGGCATTCAGTGAAAGATTTTAAACATCTAAATTTCAAGCAAAGAGTACACTGCAAAAAAATGAAATCTAAGTAAGTCAGTTTTTCTTAAAATAAGTGCATTTTTTCTTAAACTGAGCAGATAAGTGAGATACTTTGCAAATGGAATAAGAAAATGTAAAATAAGGGGGAAAAAATGCAGTCTCCTATTTCAAGAGCATAATATCAAATAATCTGATTTTAATGATAAGAATTGTCCTTCAGCTGGGAGATTTCTTTATTTACCTACTCAAATTAAGGGTAAATACACTTATTTTCACATATTTAAAGATAATTTTTGTAGTGTGTTATTGAAATCCAGGGCAAGACCTTATTACCTTTGTAACGTCCAAAAAATGTGTATATTTTGATTGCATAAATGAATGTCAACGTAATTACAAGAAACGCCAACTTGACCGTATATATTAAGAAAAATAACAAAAGTGCTTCTATTAGAAATTCAATAAAAACACAGAGAGTAAAATAAATGGCACTCCATTTGTAAGGGGTATGCAAGTGATCAAAAATGGTAACATGCCCTATAAAGGGTTACCGTAACTAAACTAATTTACACAGAGATACCTTGGATTACTCTGACCTACATAGACGTTCCTCTAAACTACCTTTTTTCTGAGTTTTTGCTGGAGAAAAAAGCAGCACCATAAGAGGAGAGTATTTAATAAAGTGAATGCATTGTTTCAATGTTTCTACAGCCAAAAAAAAGAATTTCTGGACTTTTACTATTCTTAATCTACCAGTACTCTAGGGGCCGGATTTATCAAGATCCAATTTTGCGTGCAGTAATTTGCGCTCGCAAACTGGAATTTTGCGCGAGGGGCTGAACCATGGTTTGCGGGTGATTTAACAAGAGTGATTGCGTAACTGATGGCAGGTGCAAAACTGTTGGAGACGCCCTATTTAAATGATGGTTTTGCGCGTTTTGTGGTTTGCGGCAAAGTAGTTTGTACAAACTAGTGCATTAAGAAATTTAAATCTTACAGTGACCCCCAACAACAACAAAAAAATAATTATATATATATATACACTATATTGCCAAAAGTATTTGCTCACCCATCCAAATTATTGGAATCAGGTGTTCCAATCACTTCCATGGCCACAGGTGTATAAATTCAAGCACCTAGGCATGCAGACTGTTTTTACAAACATTTGTGAAAGAATGGGTCGCTCTCAGGAGCTCAGTGAATTCCAGCGTGGAACTGTGATAGGATGCCACCTGTGCAACAAATCCAGTCGTGAAATTTCCTCGCTCCTAAATATTCCACAGTCAACTGTCAGCTGTATTATAAGAAAATGGAAGTGTTTGGGAACGACAGCAACTCAGCCACGAAGTGGTAGGCCACGTAAACTGACGGAGCGGGGTCAGCGGATGCTGACGCGCATAGTGCGAAGAGGTCGCCAACTTTCTGCAGAGTCAATCACTACAGACCTCCAAACTTCATGTGGCCTTCAGATTAGCTCAAGAACAGTGCGCAGAGAGCTTCATGGAATGGGTTTCCATGGTCGAGCAGCTGCATCCAAGCCATACATCACCAAGTGCAATGCAAAGCGTCGGATGCGGTGGTGTAAAGCACGCCGCCACTGGACTCTAGAGCAGTGGAGACGCGTTCTCTGGAGTGACGAATCGCGCTTCTCCATCTGGCAATCTGATGGACGGGTCTGGGTTTGGCGGTTGCCAGGAGAACGGTACTTGTCTGACTGCATTGTGCCAAGTGTAAAGTTTGTTGGAGGGGGGATTATGGTGTGGGGTTGTTTTTCAGGAGCTGGGCTTGGCCCCTTAGTTCCAGTGAAAGGAACTCTGAATGCTTCAGCATACCAAGACATTTTGGACAATTCCATGCTCCCAACTTTGTGGGAACAGTTTGGAGCTGGCCCCTTCCTCTTCCAACATGACTGTGCACCAGTGCACAAAGCAAGGTCCATAAAGACATGGATGACAGAGTCTGGTGTGGATGAACTTGACTGGCCTGCACAGAGTCCTGACCTCAACCCGATAGAACACCTTTGGGATGAATTAGAGCGGAGACTGAGAGCCAGGCCTTCTCGTCCAACATCAGTGTGCGACCTCACAAATGCGCTTCTGGAAGAATGGTCAAAAATTCCCATAAACACACTCCTAAACCTTGTGGACAGCCTTCCCAGAAGAGTTGAAGCTGTTCTAGCTGCAAAGGGTGGACCGACGTCATATTGAACCCTATGGATTAGGAACGGGATGTCACTTAAGCTCATATGTGAGTCAAGGCAGGTGAGCAAATACTTTTGGCAATATAGTGTATATATATATATATATATATATATATATATATATATAGATAGATAGATAGATAGATAGATAGAAAAAACTTTGGCAACCTTTATTCCCTAAGGTGGTATGTGCTGCAGTAAAAAAAAAAACAAAACAAAAAAACAGGTGTTTTGTATTGGCCTGTGACTGTGGATGAGATCCCCGCAGCATTTGGCACGTTGCTCCACAGGCGCAGGGGGAGAACCCCGACCCCGTCGGACAGCACTTCTAAAAAAGGAGATCCCAGCTCTCGCTGCAACCGTACGCTGGAATGACCCAGATGCAAAAAAGTGCAACGTTGCAAGGAGTTTTGTGATATCTGGTATTGCGTGGGTCCTCCTTGTGGTTGGCTCCAAATCCATTCGGAGTTCCCCCAACAGCTCCAAAATGGCAATGCTGGATAAACGATATGTTTTGATGATCGTTTCCTCGTTCATTCCAAAAATATTCACACGGAGTGAAAAAATGCGTTCACTGCGTCTCCTTGCTTCATTTCCATGTTTCCTTCTTGCGACAATAACCGCTGCCATGTGTGCGCAATTACGCATACAGACCATTTGCACCTTCTTTTGAAACGTGTTAAATATAGAGTCAGATACCGTTAGCAAAATTGCTTTCAGGTTTAATAAATCACTTTGCGAGTGCTAAATTAATATATTTACATGTTCTCCTCCCACAAGACGCACTTTTGCGTGTAAACGCCCCATATTGCATATTCATTGCAGAAAAAGTACTAAATGGATAAGAGGCGCTATTTAGCACGTTTTAAAGACCAAATCCTTTTAGCACGCTGTTGATAGATCAGTTTGTACATTTTTTAGCGTGCGCAGTGAAATAGCTCACGTTTTTATACACGCAAACCTTTGATAGATCCGGCCCTAGGAGTTCAATCTTTATGCTTCTTTATTTCATAATTGCAAGGGACACACAACAGTATTTTATATATATATATATATATATATATATATATATATATATATATATATATATATATATAAGTTACAGAGGCAGGCTTAACATGTACAGATCCGTTATAGGTTGAGTTAGGTTTGGAAAAAAGCAAAAGAGGAGTTAAAAAGGTTTTAAAGTAATGGGTTCTAACTCTATGCAATATATATGTAGCTCTTTATAGGACACTACACCGCACAACGGCTGGGTCAAAAAGCCGAGACACTTGGGAGATGAAATGAAGCCTTGAGGTGAATTACACTAAAGTGATTGCTCTGATTGTGAGATTCCTCATCAAATGCAGCCAAAGTCTCAGTCTGTCGATACTGATAAGTGCCTTATTTTAAATTGTTTTTTTTAAAGATGTTTTGTTCTAGTTACACCATTTTGTATGACTTATATGTGGCCGGCCAGAATTTTGGACTTCTTAAGAATGCCCACATTTCTACATAAGTTTGACCCTCTGTGAATTGCTGTGATACTTTATTTGCATGGTCATTGCTTTTTTTTTTTTTTTTTTTTGTATATTTTGCACATTTCATTCATGTTGTTTACGGTAGGCTGCCGTTCTATCGTGATCATGGCTGGACTTGTTTATCTGAAGCTCCTTTAGATTTAAACTCTGAACCGAACAGGCCTTCTGCAGTCAGAACGCTGGTAGCCATCAATCTTTTGGTCGTTTACGGTACAAAAATGTACGTTTAATCTCAAAAGTGTCCACTCCTCTGTTAGAATGACTGGTTTTTGTGACTTAAACGATTAAGAGCATCATGAATCGTTCCAAAGCCAGACGTGTGCACACCCTTAAACCAGAACTTTAACCAGGTTTGGATTCTGTTTTTTCTCTTTATCTTATACAATGTTTCCAAACACCTTATAAAAGTTGTCAGTAGAGTCAATGGAAAAAATATTAAACCATCCTTATTTTCTTTAGTATTTTGTTAATTTTAATAAGGGTACAAGTAAAGGTACATTTGTTTAGATGAAGATGCTGATAACATTTAAAAGCTGATATTTAGCCATTGTTGTACCAAACCAATTTATGGTGTTCTGTTTTTTCTTTACTGTCTTGGTCACATAACACACACAGGAGTTAGTATATGATTGCAGAAACATTGTTTTTGATGAGAAAGGTGGTACTCATACTCTTACTAGTCTTCCCCTCCTTTTCCAGACCTGGTTGGGGGCCGATTTCATCACCATAGATGAGGGTAGAAACTTAGAACGACCGGTAAATCGAGAGCTTTGCTTTTTGGTGCAGCGTTCGCATTATAGCAGCCGCACCGATCCATTTATCATCGATGATAAAGGTGGTTAACTTTATTTTTTCCATGATGGTATATGATCCAGTTTAGCTAACTGTATTGTGGGTGTTCCACAAGGCTCTGTATTAGACCTTTTTTTTTTATTATTGACTTTATTTCAATTAACTCTGTGTCTCCACCTTAAGACGATCTACAGATACATACAGGTTAAACAATTAAGCATTATATGCTAAATTAAAGTTGCAACGTCCAGGCTAAAGGTTGTGTAACACATTGGCTTGATCAGTTGCACTTGAACCTACTCTTTAACTAAAACATAACTTTGATCTTTGTAGCCTTTAAACTGTGGCTTTAGTTAAAAGATAAAAGTGGGCGTATGAAAGGGAAGAAATCCTGCAGAGATGCTTGAACAGATTTAGGGGTTTATTGTTATCAGGTTTGTATCAGGGTCAATTTCAGCTTGGAGTGTGGGTTTATTTTCAGCTTCCTCCTGTCACATGTCAAAGTGAACCAGAGCAAGCACTTAAGATTTAAGATTAGTTCTACCTACTGATCTGCATGCTTGTTTATTAATGTGTGCCATCAGGCTTTAGTTCAAAGCAGAGATGGGGGATCAGGAGTCAGCAAGTCATCTCTATGTCATGTATTCTGCCCAGCGACTGAACCAGGTGAGTCCAATCTGCACAGGTTAGTTCACTTTACATTGGACTAACCTGGTTCAGTGGCTGGGCAGAACAAACACATGACTTGTTGACTCCAGATCCCCAATCTCTGGTTCAAAGGAGTGGCCAGTATGACTAGAAAGTTACTTTAATTCCGTCCATTTACCCAAAATGTTATTATGGAAACAAAGCTTTAGTTTAAGGGTGTCCAATCATCCAACCAGGATTTAATAATTCTTACAAAATTATAGAAATGATTTACTTTTTAAGTTGCAAGCAATCGCTTATAAAAGAAATGACAAAAGTATTTATGATGCTGCTTCTTTTAGGACATAAAAACCAAGCATTTTAACAGGGATGTACACTTCGAAAAGCCAGTGTAGACTTCAGTATTGCCTATAGTTACAGTAGTAACCTGTGTTTTGTTTTTGGTCTGTTTGTCTGTTTTGTACATTTAACCTATTTAATTGCATGTACCAGTCAGTTCCTAGTTTAAAGTGAAGACTTACGGAAACGGTGCATATAGGAAAACTCAGATTAGAGACTTTGACTTTATTCTGAGGTCATTAACTCTATTTCATCCCACTGTTGACCTACAGATGGTGGAAACAGGGATGTGTTTTTTTTGTTTTTTGTTGTTTTCATATACCAAAGCATGCTTCTTGTTCTTTTTTGCCTTGGTCATTTTCTTGTGCTACCTGTAGCCTAACCTTCACAACTCTATATTTAACCAAAGATTTTGTGTTGAACTCTACATTTTAAAAAGGGAGATGTCCGTCTTTACATGTTCTTCCTGTTTTTGTACTCAAATGCATTCTATTTTTTATATTACATGATACTGTAATAAACTGCATTTATTAAAAAAAAAACTTGTTTGTCTGCTTCCTCTTGCTTGGAGCTGTGGGTCACTATGAATGCTTGTTTGTTAAGGGATTTTGCCTCTAATTTGTCAACAAAATTTTATTCAAATGCATTCGTTGTGAGGGAGCTTCAGTCTGCTTCTCTGGTGAGTTCAGCAGCAGAACTTCAAAATATGAGCAAAGGTGTGCCGGCTCATGTTTGCACAAGAGATGAGGGGATCTCTGGTGTGTTATTATAACCCTGATGGGCTCAGGTTTCCCGTGCGAGGGTATGATGATGTTCAGTGCCAACGCACATGCAGGTTAATTTAGTTTTGTTTCATCTGTAAAGATCCATAGAGGCTTCAGCTCTCAGAGGAGTAGACTGTAGAGGCGCTTTCTTTCGGAGGGATGATCTTCACAGCGGAGCAGATCATTTGTGTCTGTGAGGTTCTGCTGCAGGGTGGTAGCATGGATCGTCTTGCCAGCTTCCTCTGCACTCTTCCTCCCTCTTCTTCTTCATGCCTTGCGGAGCTGGAAAGCGTCCTGAGAGCCAAGGCGGCGGTGGCCTTTCACCAAGGGCGCTTCTCAGATCTCTACACCCTGCTGGAGGGCTTCCCCTTCTCCCCACGCAGCCACCCGTTCCTGCAGGAGCTCTGGCTGCAAGCTCACTACGCCGAGGCCGAGAGGCAGAGGGGTCGGCCCCTGGGGGCCGTGGGGAAGTATCGGGTTAGGAGGAAGTTTCCTTTACCCCACACTATCTGGGATGGAGAGGAGACCAGTTACTGTTTCAAGGTAGGATTACTTTTCTCAGCACTTAAACTAGTTTATTCAAACACTCACAGATTAACCTGGACACTTAATTACTTTCTATACTTTATACATCAAATCAACCTTGGTTTTAATGGTTGTGACATAAAATTTAGAGGGGCTTAAAATGTATTAAGTGTATTTTTTCCAGATGAAAACCACTGAAGTATTTACCCCCCCCCCCCGCCTTGGTGCTTTTATATGCAATCATAGCTGCCCTTGTCTTAGGTTTCCCTCCTATTATGCACATCTGGAGGATGATAGTTTTGCTCTCTCATTGTTGCAAAATAACTTCAGCTCAATCAGATCAGACAACAGAGGCAATTTTCAATTCACCATGGGGCCATGGGATGGTTTATTTGTCCCGCTTATAATAGGTTTACCTCTGACCTGGTCTCTAAACCCCTTAGAAATTACGCCTTATTCTTTCTTTTAGCAACACAATGCTTTTTGGTCAATCTTTCATCAATAGTAGATTGCGCAAAACTAATTGTTACTCTGTCCACAGATTCTTGCTCCTTTAGGCATTTTTCTGTGTGTATTTTGACAGATGTGCAGTTCTTCCATTCTTTTCATTTTCAAGTGATGGATTGAATGGTGCTCGGAGATATTCAAATATTGGTATCGTTTTGTAACCTAACTCCGTTTAAAACCTTATACCTGACCTGCCTGCTGTGCTTCTTGTTCTGCACGATCCTGTTTCTGTTTGTTAATGATGTTCTCTAACACAGCCCTGAGTGCTTTTGGAGAACATCTGGATTATTACTGAGGATAATTTACATCAAGTCATCGCTTTAGGCTGTCAGTTTTAAGGATTTCTTTTAGGGCTATTGGTTTCAGGGAGCTGAATATGACTCATTTTTAAAAAGCTTTGAAAGCCAAAGTGTTTTAATATTTCCACTGATGATGTGAGGGACTCATAAGATAAAAGACGGTTGACTTATAAACAGTTAATCATCGTTTTTGTTCTCTTTAAAACAGGAGAAATCCCGCAGCGTGCTGAGGGAGTGGTACCACAGAAAGCCATATCCTTCCACCAGAGAGAAGAAGGAGCTGGCAGCGGCCACTGGTCTCACGTCCACTCAGGTCAGCAACTGGTTCAAGAACCGCCGGCAGAGAGACCGAAGCACCGAGATTTCCAGGTCAGTGAGACCACGGCTGCTGGTTGGAAACTGTTTACTTTTATTTACTTAAAGCATCTTGGGATGAAAATGTTTTATTTTCTTTTTTTTATACTGCAACTTAAAGTGAGAGCTTTTGTTACTCAATGTAGAATTATGAAACAAATGCAAAAGAAAATTATGAATTTCCAGCTCAAAATTGCCTAATTATCTCATGCTTGTGACTTAATAAAAAATATAAATAAAATAAAACGTAATCTCTTACTAACTTCTAATTACTGACTTAATTTATTGCAGCCTCAAATCTCTAAAGTTTTTTATTCCTTGACTCATTTAAAAACTTACTGTATATCTCACACGGTAATTAAAACTTTGTATCTGCAAATTCAGATTTAGAGATCTCCGTTAAGTTTTACTGTTTATTACAATAGTTTAATCACTTTATTATAAATTTCTATCTTATAAATTTGCGCCGCCATTACAGGGCGAAAATCTTACCATATGTTTAACAACAAAGTTTATATTTCTGATATTACTGTTAATTGATGAAGACTTTGTATCATTTGTATTATCACATAAAACATGCCCTTTCCGCTATATCAGAAAATATGACAGTATTTCAACATTGTCTTTATATCTCAATAATGAAATACTTTCCTTAAAAGACTTTGCTTCAAAACCTTTGACATTAAAATTTACACAAAACATTTTAAAACATTAAATCATATATATATATATATATATATATATATATATATATATATATATTTAATAAAAAACAATCCCTCATAAATTTTCAATCCTTTTTTTGTTTTTTTGAAGACTTTAAATCCTATAACTTTACCGTACATCTTTAAAATTGGATTAATTTTTAATGCATTTGGCAACAAATTTCTTATTTTGATGCACACAATGTTAAAATCATGGGATTTACCGGTAATATTTTTATTCTTTTAGCTCATAACAATGAATGTATTTCTCCCAAGTTCATACTATATCTGATCCTTTGATAAACCTTTAATCCCATAGCTGTGACATTATGACTTTATATCTCAGTATTAATACTTTTAAACTAACTCATGACAAGCTACATGAGTTTGCTTTTAAATGAAGGCAATTATCTTCCACAGAAACTGACCTTTTACCTTCAACAGAGTATTTGATCAGCATCCTGTTCTATTACATATCTTAGATGTTACACATTTACTGTGTTATATTAGCATCATTTCTTTAATCCAATCAAGTTAACTGTTGTGTTTAACGATAACAGCGCCCCCATGTGGTAAAATCGGGTCATGAGACCATTTTTTTGTAAAACCTGTTTCTCGTTCCAGTTTCCGAACTCCACTTGCTGGAGGGCCTTCAGGAGAAATGTCTGACCATGAAGGTTCTCCTCAAAGCAGACCTCTGCCTCGGAGACGCCGCCCCTCACCCCCACGCTTGTATCACCCTCCTCTTCATCACTTGTGCCAAGAATATTAGAATTGTATTGAATTACAAAGCAAAACCCAGGACTTGCCTTAAACCAAACACGAGACAATAATCAGGAAGAATGGGTTTCGTACATAAAAGGGGGGGGGGGGGGGGGGTTTAGACAAGAGGTTCAGAACAAAACTGGTGAATTAAGCAGAATTATTTCACATGAGCAAATGTAACTTCTTGACTTCGAACTCCTTGAGGAAATAAATAAAATGGATCTGACCGCTGCTGACGGCCTAAGCTTGAGTGAAACACTAATATAGGAGTTTAACAGTAAAGTCCTTGTAAATGTTAAATAGCGCACCTAAAATCAGCAGCTGAGAAAGATCTTCAATGATCTGAAGGTATGTTTGGGGGGAACGGAGGAGCTCCCCAACTTTTACCTCCTTCTCAGATGACGTTCACAGTAGGTCATTCAAAGTGCATCTTCTTCCAATTCACAGGGTAAGCTGCTGGTAAAGTTACTAGGGCTCCTTCCACTGAGACGTCAAAACTGTTTCTATTTACTTCAAATGAGATTTAGAGAAATTGTCAGTCATGCAATATGTGAAGCTGATGCTGACCAAGGATAAGGCTGTAGTTTCTCATGATTTTAATGTGATCAAAGGCTTCCTCTGTAGCTGGTTCTTCTTCCAAACTCCTGCTGGGATCTACATTAGAGGCTTTTAGCTCAGAGGCCCAGGTACTCTGCCAGGAACACGGCCATGATCTTAGTGAGGTTCTCTACGGTTGGATGGTGCATGTTCTCCTCCGTGTCGTCCAGTGTGTGCCAGAACTGAGGGAAGGGAGTGGGGATTATGTGCAACACCGGTACACCTGGAAGAAATGGATTGAAAGATAAAGAGGATGAAGGAGGGGTCACGTGTAAACAGCAGCTGCAATGCTTCCTAGGTTACAATGTCACTGCATCAAACTCGCCCTAAAGCTCATACTGATCTACTTGTTTGGGAGCTTTGGCCTAGTGGATCAGAGCAGCGCGCTTACACTCTGAGAAGGTTACAAGTACCATGTTCGATCCCCAGAGCCACCACTTTGGGTTCCTGAGCAAAAAAACTTAACCCCTGATTAACCACTCAATGGCAGCCCTCTGCTCCCCAAGGGAAAGGGTTAAAATGCCATTGTCCCCATTGTGGGACAATTAAGGGATTTACATTTATTAAAAATTGACTATTCTGCCTTCAACTTTGCTTATACACCTGGATTTTACCCAAAGGTTACTGTTCTGAGTTTTTTTGGAACCCCGATTTTATTATTTAGGGATGGAATATATAGATAAGCTGAGAGGCTGAAGCCACAGACTCTTAAATAAGGTTTTTCTCTTAGACAAAAGAAAAACTATATAAACGATTCAAAGTTTTCTTAGCTAACAGATGCATGTTTTTTAAAAGACGTAAATCTCTGTGTTTTACCAAAAGAAAAATTAACACATATATGTTTTATATTTGGGCAGATTTTAAAATTAAAAGGAGCTGCAGTAGTAAAACACCCAGTTATGTCCAACGACCAGTGGCTACATAGAAATGGGGTTTATACCCAAGTTTATACAGACAAAGGATCTGTTGGTTGTTCCTGTGCCTCACCTCTGTGAAGGAAAGGGATGTGGTCGTCTTGAACAGGACCAAGGTACACGTCCTTCCTAAAGTATGTTTGCTCTGAGGGGTGAGACACCAGGAGACCGAGGCGATGGAGCCTTTTCTCTGAGAGTGAAGGCAAAGTTCAGATGAACAACAGGGCGAAAATTCACCATTGATGATAAACGGAAAAGCCTGTACCCACCTGCAGAGATCAGGCGGTCAAACCATCGAGCTGTGTTGTCAAAATGATTTGCAATCAATGGATCAGGACCCCCGAGCAGGTCTAACAGCACGAAAAGGTCCTGAGGATGAAAACACAAGTCAAAGAAAGGAGGATGTTTGTTTTTAATGATTACCCAGATCACCGCAAACAGAAGGCAATTTGATCATGTGTTTCTTCTAAAAGGGTCTGATGATCCAAATCAGCAAAGCTCTCTTATATTAAGTTAATTTATACATTAGTTTAATATCTCATCATAATTCAATTTTCTTCTATTCTTGCAGATAAGTTTTAAACTTTGCTTTGAATCTAATGCTGTAGAGATGTTTGCAGAAATAAAGAATCTTATCAAACATTTATTTTCCATCTTTATCTTCCCCTGGAAAACACTTCAAATTTCATGCTTTTTCTCTAAAGCATAGAAACACTGCAGATAGACTTTTTATTTTTTTATTGTTTGCTTTATCTCACCTGTAAGGACTAGAATACACAAGAAAAATGATCTTAGACGGATTCAATCATCTAATGTATTTTCCTTACATTATGCCATAATTAGACAAAATGCAACTTCTTTAACTCGTCAGCTATAAGCTTGAAGTGCTGAGGTTAAACCCTAAAGCACAAAGGTGAAGAGCAAAGCAACCACCTCCCTTCCAACTCTCTCTCTAAAGTCGACACATTTGTAGTTTTGATATTTGAGCTTAGAAGTGTTACCAAGGTATCATATAGCTCTGAACCTCAGCCGGTATCAGCTCCTTATTAAATATTCAGCAGGATTCTTTGCTGCAGGGCTTTAAGTTTTACCTGAAAACACCTCGGATATTTGACTGCTTTTAGCAGTTTCAACAGAATATGTTATTAAAATCTGCTTCTGAAAAGACTTTCCATAAAAAAATACGATTATATTTTTTGTACAATTTATTTTCTCTATGCTGAGCTAATAAGAGATAAAAGAATGAATCCAGCTGCTTGTTTTATGTTTCTTTGCCCTCACCACGGCCTGCAGAGTGGTGGCCTGAGGGGAGGCGGCAGGGTGGGGTGTTTTGGCCATGAGTTCGGCCAGGTGGCGAGAGCCGTACAGTGAGTCCGTGTCCGTCCATTCTTCAAACGATTCCTCGCCGTCAAAAAACACAAGCTGGAGGGTGACTGGGAGTTTCTAGGAAAAGTATAAGACGGTTAGTTTACAATGCAGCTGAGGTCATCTTTTCGTTCCTGCAGATTCTATTCCTGGAGCTCCAAAGTACAGTTCATTACAGAGATACTGCTGTATACTTAGGATGGGAACTAGAGTCAGCATTTTCTGCACACTGCAGCCATGCAGGCAGAGAGGCGAAACAAGGGTGTAAAGGGAATGAAAGGCACAGAGAAGACTATGGTCAGCATCTTTATGCTTAAAATTAAGAAAAGCCTTTAAAAAACAGTAAAAATAATCTCAGTTTTAGACTTCTATAATTCCATTAATGCAGAATAAAAGACAAATACCTGCTGTTTAAAAGATTTGAGCTGTGTGTCCAGAGAAGCAGCCAGCTCCAGAATCATAGCACAGGGAACAGCAGAGTCGCTGGCTCCCAAAAACATCTTCCCTGGGGCCTGCGGGTCTGGAGGGAGGATTTTTGAGTCATAATGGCAGGCCAGGAGGAGCCTCCGAGGGGCTGTGGGGTCCAGGACGGCAATAACATTTGTAAAGGTGACTTGACCACGAGGAGTGGGAGACTGGAAAGAGTCCAGGTCAATGGCCCAGCCAGCCGACAGCGAGGACAGGGTGGACGCGATGTGCTGAAGCAGAGGAGAGAGTTAAAGATAAAGAGACGGTGCTTAAAAAAGCAGCTAGATGTGATCTGTAATAAATCACACACCTGCTGTACAGCCAGGCTTCCTCGTGTCCCTGGGAGCCTCTCTATCAGGATCGGCTGCAGGTGAGTCTCCCACAAACGAGCGGAGTCGACTAAAGAGGCCAGGCGGCGGATCTGGGCTGCAGAGGCTTTACTGGGTTTGTGGGAAAGCTGTGGAACACAAGACTCTTAAAAACACTCACCTTCATTATAAACTATTATTTTCTTTATACGGTTATTCTGTTCCTTTACACTGAAACTATTCTACCCGTTCATGTGTTGCAAGATTTGTATTTCAACTGATCTAAATGATAAAAAAAGATAAACATTCTATGAGAAACCAACAGAATGACCAGTGCCTGTTAATGTTTTACAACCACTGTAGCTCAGTTAGATTGGAATAGGCAACATAGTAAATACTTAGAATGTAAAAATGCACAGACTGATTGTTAGTTTATTACTCAAATCATTGATCATCAAGATGAGTTTGATGCAACACTACAACGGCAATAACCTGTACAATGTATAACCTATGCAATAACCTGCTTTTCTATATCTGACACCCAGTGCAATAACTGAATATAAAAATATAAATATTCATGTAAACAACCAGCACAATAACCCTTTATAAGGATACTACTATAATAATAAAAAAAAAAAAAACGTAATGGAAGCACTGCATATACTGTATATATCCCATCCACCTTTTTCTTCCTTTGGCACCTTCTTCTCCTTTCACTGTTTCAGCTGATGTAACGAGTACATTTTTCTGCACTGTGAGATCAATAAAGTCAATCAATCAATGAGCTTGATTTATTACTTTGTACTAACTATTTTGTATAAATGAAATCCCGGGACCTCAACTAAATAAAAGTAATAAAATAATCTCACAGCTTTTCCGTATTTAAAGATATCCTGACATTTAACTGACTCAGTAAATGCAGGTATGAAGTAAAACTGATGGTGAAATATCCAGAGGCGTAGCTAGAAAATTTTCATAAGGATGGAGAGGCAATAACCAATGCACACTGAGGGGTGGTCAATCTACACTGTTCCAAAAGGAACAACCACAACATCCATATTTTCTAAATAAAGACTAACTATACTTTCCCACAGCCTTTTCCTAACAAATAGACGCATATATTTAAACATCTGTGCTAACTAATTAAAGGTGTAGCGGACAAAATCTCTGCGGCGAAAATCTTCTCCATTGTCATTACTTACCTACTTTTACCAAAAATTGATCTGAATAAAAAAATATATATTTATAAGTACTAATATCTATAATAAATGGGTTTTAAAGTTATTATTAAAGTAGTAATTTATCTAAGATTTAACGGCAGACTCCTAGATGACTTGCAGAGACATAATTTTCTCTTTACCTCATATAACACAAAAATACAGTTCTGAAAAGAGCATGAATTCTTTATATATCAACTTTAATGTTAGTATTTTGCTGTGCATAAACATGGTTTTTACAGGAATGAGTAACTCTAATTTAATGCTCTTTTAATGCTCTTAGAAATCATTTTAATGCCATCGACAAGTACCCATGACTCTCATATATACATGTATAAAACAAGGCAAAATCCTGCATCATCTTTACCATCGACAGGCTGCAGCCATGTCCCTAATTCCTCGTTTTCCAAACACTTTTGTTGGAATTTGCATTTTCCTATTCTGTAGCTTTTTCACCGCCTAGAGCTTCGTTTTCTGAAAATACGGCTTTACGACTAACAGTTCGGCGCAAACATGCGCAAGCAGTTAAATCTGACGAAATAGTTTTTTAAATAAAGCATTTTAAATGCCACAAAAATCCCTTTAATGAATTTTAATGCAAATTAAGGCCTTACTTAAAACAATTATAATTCAATGACTTTTAATGACCCGCGAAAACACTGATAAACACAGCCTTTTAGTTGTCGATATATGAAAAATTCTAATGTTTAATAAGTTTTAACATTCCTCTTGTAAGTATTACTGCTGCCACCATGGGCGAAAAAAATGGTAGGGGTGGCCACTGATTAGCTGAGGGTGGAAATGGCCACCCCTGGCCCCCCATCTAGCTCCGCCACTGGAAACATCCAGATTGTTACAGGTGAATCAGTAGACTTGACAATGGAGATTGGATTAGAATAGTTGAATAAAAAAAATAAAAATAACTTTTAAATGTAACCAAACAATGATGTGAGGCTTGCTAAATAATCCATTATATCTCACCCTGTCCTTCACCAGATCCACAGCTGGCAGGCGGCTCACGTGTCCGCTGGAGGTGTCATTAACCAGGTAAACACTCAGCACCACCGCCAGCACCAGAACACCGAGCAGACCCACGATCAGGACCCGGGCTCTGAGGATCCGCCCCCGCTCACAGCCGGGGAGCGAGCCGCCTCCGTTGCTCTGCGGTAGAGTCTTGTTGTTCCTGCGGCTGGACCTGGGCATGGCTGCTGGGTGGGGGTGTTCCGCCTGAAGAGCAGAAAAGTTACAGCTACGTGTCCAAAGCTGGGGGTTTGTGGAGCGATGCAGGACGGTGATTCACACAGGAAGCGACATTTGCAGATGCTTGATTCAACATATCGATCCAGGATTAGCCGCTGAAGCTCTGCTGGCTGCCTTTGATTAATCCTCAGAAGCCATTCATCACATTAGATCTGTTTAATTTATTTTATCTTATCAGGCTTCCATCTTCATCTGGAGCGCTGCAGCTTTTCCCCTCATGTCCGTATGAAGACGCAAATACTAAGAATGTGGAAGAAGAACATCATCATACTTATTAGAACAAAATTTAAGCGACAAAAAACAAAACAAAAACAAATTTAAAGCTCCCTGGTTAATAGATAAGCTAAACAACCTAAACAAGTTGCACTTCTTCTAGGCCTTGATTCAGAAGTATCCTGTAGGAGCGCCATCTAGCGGACATTCTTTGCTTCTTCTTCTTCTTTTCTATTATGGCGGATCGCAAGGAACTTTAAGGTGCATACCGCCACCTACTGTACATTCGTGTGTAGCAACATTACTGTACAACAAAGTATTTTTTTTAATTTTGTATATAAATAAATAATTATTTACTTAATCAGTGAATATATTTTATATTTCATTAATTTCCCAATATTCTTTTAAGACTCCATTGTTGGCCTGTCCTTCCAACCATCCTTCTCAATTTCTCCCTATCATGTTCATAAGTTTTAAAGTTCATCACTACATGTTCTACATTTTCTTTTTCTCCACATCCTTCACCTTTATCATTATTTTTCCTCCATATTGAATATAATTTGTCATTTAAATAGGTATGACCCACTCTTAATCTGATGATTATTACTTCTTCCCTTCTGTTTCTCTCATTAATGATTCTATTTTATTCTTGTACCTTATATAATCCTCTTCCTTTCTTATCTTCATTCCATCTCTTTTGCCATTTTTCCATTTCTTTACTCTTAATAAATGATTTACCTTCCCCTTTCCCAAAAGGAATTGTAATTGTTATTGTTTCCTCTAAAGCCCTTTTTGCCAGTATATCTGCCTTATCATTGCCTTTTACATACATTCTTTGCTATAGAGGGATCTTCCTTTCAAAGAGAGGAGTTGTGATACTCTACCGCCATCTAGTGGGGAGAATTGTAGCTCAAGACCAGATTTTAGAAAGAATCCACAGTTTATTTATACAGCACGAATTGACAAGAAAATATCATCTTAAAGTACGTTTTTAAACAAAAATGTCTAAATATACAGACATATATTAGATGCATCTTGTTTATAGTTGGATGTGTGTATATATCATATGAATATCATATAAAACTAACTGGAGCGTGTAACAAAAGTAATTTCCCTCTGGGATTATTAAAGTATTTCTGATTCTGATTCTGAACATTAGTTAAAGCACAATGCTGTCAAATGTAGTTTGTTATAAAGATCTAGAAAAAGTTATCTTGCTAAAGAAGAAAATCAAATAATCAATTTAAGGCAACCAATCTGTCATGCAGATTAAGTGTGTGGCAACAGTGGGAAGAAACAACTCCCTTTCAACAAGACCCTCTGCCATAGAACACATACAGTTTTTCAAATGTCTGTACTCAAGTTATGAGGTGACTACCTCATCAATGCTGTACATCCCAAACAATACAACTTTTTACTGTTTTATTTTACATAAAAATATATATCTATATAAAGATCCAGTTTGAAGTGCAGATGCCATGAAAATTGTTATAATACTTCCGGACCTTATTCCCTGATATTATGACTTTCTAGCCCTAATGAGACATGAGAGGCCTTTTTATCTGGGTATTTTTCTTGTCATCTCGTTGAGCTGTCCAGCATCGGCATGCCAGGGTCAGGCTTGACATCCACAGAGCTCATCCACCTTGATCAAGGCAAACAATAAGAGGATTTATATGTTACTGTACAGTTGTAATGTAGGGATTTGGATTCTAAGAAATTGAACTAAATCAGCTATTAAAGTAGCAACATATAAAACTGGATTGAATAGAAAATACAACAATATTCTGTTTTTGCAGAAAGGGTTAATGTGAATTCTCTCAGATGTTGGTGTCGTTCTGGACTCAACCAAAAGACAAGGTATCATTTAAAAAAACATTGAGGAAAGTTTTCAAATAACACAAACGATACCTTTGCAGTGTGTGTGGATGGGGGAGGTTCGGCTCTCAGATCTCAGATAATAGTAAGCAAAGGGACCATGTAAATGGAGCGTGCTGCAAACTCCCTCTGCTCTTTAGTGAATTCATGGCTCTGTTTGGACAGCAGGTGCATTGGAAAATCTGAAATTTAATTAAGAGGCAAACTACGAAGAACTACTGACAATATTTGGAAGTTCTTAAAAAAAATTGCTTGTACACTTATCAAAACTTAATTTAAAAACTTTGTTTTTATCTGAGTATGCATTAAGCTGATCTTTCAACTCTTCATTTATGAGTTTTTATGAGCACTCATGGCATTCCTTGCTCCCCTCTCTCTGTTGCTGATGTTCCTCCTCTCTCTTTCCAGCCTCTCCTCCTGAGCCAAGTCTGTATTGTAGTTGTGTGGTCCTGTGAGTACACCCGGTATCTATGGCAAGGTCGCTTTATTTTGGACAATATTTCTGACAAATTTGAACTTTATTTTAAGGATGTTTATTTGGAATCACAAAATATTAAAAAATAACTTTCTAACCATTTCTTTTTATGTAATCTTTTTCCTCCGTCGGCCAAGTTTTATATCCACAAATGTAAAACTATCATAATTAAACCCTCATGTATCTTTTTTTTTTTTAAAGGAAGCAATTACCTTTTTTTCTACATTGTCCTCCTCCAATAACAAAAAAACTGTTAAAAGTTTATCTTTATACTCTAAATTCAAAGTATTTACAAATCTCTTTACATGCTGCTATGTGTAACTTTACTTTATTGCAATCACTACTTTAACTTTTATTTTTTTATTTTTTTTTATTATTATTATTTTTGTTCAAACCCCTGGTGGTTGTTCACTGGAAATTGTACTTTTTTTGTATATAATATAATGTAATATATAATGTAATGTATATAATGTAATAAATAAATTAATAAAGAATATTCTAATAATGTATGTATAAGGAAAACAACATCTTCCCACTAAGTAGAGCAAAAATAAAAGTATATATTAAAGATAAAATGAATAATATATGGCAGGAGAAATGGAATTTAGAATAAAGATTAATGCATTTACATAAAATACAAAAGGAGTTAATCATAAGAAATAAAAGTATAATGAATAGGAGGGAAGAAATATGGATTAACAGGTTGAGGATTGGGCATACTAGTTTAAATAGTGGTTAAAAAATAATAGGGAAACATCCATCTGGTGATTGTTCTTATTGTGGGGAATCAATAGGAGTAGAACATGTCTTGATTTATTTTAGATAATACATAAATAAGAGGAAAGAATTGGAAACAGTAATGGGTCGATCAGTAAGTATGGCTAATTTATTAGGGAAGAATCAATCACATGATAGAATTCAAGCACTTATTAAATATTTAATAGAAACAAAATTAGCTAAGAGAATTCAGTATGTACGTGAGTGAGTTTATAACTATGTACATCATTTAGTTATTTTAAAATTTAAAGATTTATCGGGAAAATGAATATCTGAATTACATCTCCGTCCAGTAGATGGCGGTAATGTGCAAAGTGTATAAACTGCCAGAAAGCGCGTTAGAAGAAGAAGGTGAAGAAATTCGCGGGGTTTGCTGCAGGTTTTGTTGGTTCTCGTGAGAAGCTGAGGGGCTGCATCCACCAGCTGCACACTTTGAAGCCGCTCAAAGTTTCTGCTTTTCGTCTGCCTTCTTTACAGGAGTTTCCTTTTCACCATGATGTTTGTGATTAAAAGAGGTGAGTTTTATTAGTTTCCTGTTAGCCCAGCCGCACACAGCTCTACCTTTAGCCAACATCTTTTAAAAAAAGTAAAAAAAAAAATTGACAGCTCCTTCTCTCTAGCCTCTGCATCAGTATAATATGGAGGTTTGGTTTGAATTGGTTGGATTTTAACCCCCTGTCAGCTAACCAGCTAGCTTTAGCAAGATCACAGCTAAACCTGGAGGTTAAACTAAACAGCCGTTGGTAAATGACGCATTTCCTTTTTATTCCTTTGATAACCACAGCTCAACAAGCACACCTTTAGAGATAGTTTGTTCTGTTTGCTCTTTGTTTTGGAGACAGAAATGGTCTTTGTTCCAGATGGCGCCAAAAATGACCCCTCCTCCTCCTTCTGGGTTAAACTGGACTGGATTTATAAATAAATATAAAAACTATGAGAAATATAAAAACAACTTAAAGCAAACTGAAATAGACAGATGCACAGGAGGAATCCTCAGTGTGTTTAACAACAGTGCATTTGGTAGCAGGTGAAAAATGGAGACAGTAGATCTGATAGTGAACAGAAAGGACTCTCCTGTTTACTACTTTTATATTAATATATAAAAGACTAAATGATATTGTTTTTTTTTTATTGATTGCTTCGTTGTGTTTTTTCCCGCTATTTGTCAGTTTATAGCTCTTCCTTTTTCCTCTTCCTGCAAACATTCATGTTCTTGCCTGTTGAGGAATCCTGTCATTAAGCTACACCCCCCATCCTCCTCTTTAGCCTTATTTAATTTAAACATTTCTTATTGGCTGGAGAGGAAAAGCTATTTTATTGAATATATATATAGGGAGTAGTAAAAAAAATAAAGCTGCAGGATATTAAAACAAACTGTTGCTCTTGCCTTTCAGGCGCATATATATTCAGTGAAAAAATAAGCAACAGATTAATTGATTTTCAAAACTATCATTGCAGCCATAGTCTAAATAAGGCGTTTTTTAATAATCTAAGGGAAATGAAAAGAAAGCCGCCCTCTGTAACCTGGATCAACACAGGTGGCTTTCTGTTTATTAGCTTAAAGAGAGGAGGAGCAGCAGCTGTGATGCAGTGTTACAAAATGCTAATAGATTTGGGCAACTTCCTGTTTAAACTAGAAACTTTTGAGTTTTGATTATTGATCATGAAAAAAATTATTTGACTAAAGATCTATCTGTCTGTGTTTTTTTTTCAGATGGACGCCAGGAGCGCGTCATGTTCGATAAAATCACCTCCCGCATCCAGAAGCTCTGCTACGGTCTGAATGCAGACTTCGTGGATCCGGCCCAGATCACCATGAAGGTGATCCAGGGTTTGTACAGCGGCGTCACCACCGTGGAGCTAGACACGCTAGCAGCGGAGATCGCGGCCACCCTGACGACCAAGCACCCGGACTACGCCATCCTCGCCGCCAGGATTGCTGTGTCCAACCTTCACAAGGAGACCAAGAAAGTATTCAGCGAAGTGATGGAAGACCTGTACAACTACGTCAACCCTCTGAACAAATGCCACTCCCCCATGATCTCCAAGCAGACCCTCGAC